ACCCAAGAGGCGCCCCAAAAAAGCAAAAGAGGGCTCGGAGTCGGCCCCAAGTGTCAATGATAATGGATATGAGCCACTTTTCCACGAGCTGCAAGATCCGCTCGGTCGATCAAATATGAAACGGTGCGTCCTGCACCACGCACGCGCAGCTGATGAATTCAGGGAAACCCCAGTCTAGGACTGGAACACGTCTGATAACTTGTTATCGCTGTCTGGCTCAAATAGGGGATCCCCTGATATCGTTTGAGAAGCAAACGGCCATGGAAACACAACATGGCATGTTATGTGTTATACAACTCCTCAAGCCCTTGAAAAGGGCATTCAACTCCTGAGCTGCTTATCTACTGCGTTTCGGGCTGCCCCCAAAACTCTCATCTTCACACAGAATATAAACTTTGCAGCATCAGAAACTGGAGATCAGCAGCCTGTATAAATAACCTTCTGCACACAAGAGTTGTGCTATGAAAAATCACATAAAAGGCTCGGCTCAAACCAGCCGAACAGCCACCGTTCGCACATCAAACATGAAACGAAACAACACGAGTTTGAACGATCACCAACTTTCCATAAGGATCCTCCGAACCAGGTCTGCTTTGAGCCCCGACACTGCGAGGTTCATCTCACGCAGAATTCCTTGCAACGCATGCACCGGCAAAGCCTCGAGCTTCTTCTGTACGTTCGGTGTGTAAGGCATGTGAATCATTCCTAGATCGTCCATCTTCTGTGCAGCACTGCTCGGTGACAGTTTGAATCCGTTGCTGTGGTCTTGCAACGATCTCCATGGAGCTGGCTGAATGTGAAACTGCAACCGTTGTCGACACCGACTCCGGCTTGAATGTCTGAATGGCAATGAACAGAAGTACGCAAATCAAAGCCATAAAAACTGCACCGAATGAAACTCCTGCTGCACATGTCCCAGCTGGGGACAGCAAAACTGAGACCATTGATCAAACGGCTCGGCCAAAACATAAGTTGAAACCTGCTGGCCGATCATCGGTTCAGTTGATGCTACTGCTGCGGCCGCTGCTGCCACCTGTGGCAACGTTGTACCTGAAGAAAAACTGCTTGCCAAAATGCTGGAAAACAGAGCTGCGCGCATGAACCGAGAAGTCCTGGTCGTCATAGATGTGCTCACTTCCGCCTGATAAATCTCATGCACACCGATCCTCGATATATCGCCATCTGCACTGTAGTCCTTGGGCTTGGCATAGTTGGCATTCAGGTAACCGGCGTCCTCCTGCAACTCAACTCGCTGAGCACGCTGAATCTCGTCCCAGGGGTCGGTCAGCTTCCGCTTCCTGCGTGAGGGCGCTCGGGGATCTGGTCCGAAAGTCCATAGGTTCTCGTGAAAAACTCGATCTTGGTATGGGGTGTCCATCTTCTTGGTAAGGCCGTCGGCCAGCTGCTGCTCAGATCGTAACCATTTGATGCCTCCATGCTGGCACTCCTGCCTGATGATGGGTGCTTCCAGGGAAAGCCTCCGATCTGATAGGCGAAGACGCTCTTTGACCACACAATCCCACAGAGAACGACAATCTGTGACCAAAACACCCTGTGTCCAGAATGTGACGTCTTGTGCTTCGGAACAACTGTAGGCCTCCGCCGAGAGGGTACTGCGTACTGCACGACCAATCCGTCCACTTGACCAGGCCAGTAGCATACATGGGTAGAGCTTGTTGCGGTCGTCCATCATAGCACCATCTCCCACCATGATATAAAACCCAGGCTGGCTCTTGTGGTTCGGCATGTTGTCGAAAGGCGCGTCATGCGATGCAATGGTGACAGATTTCTCGAAATCAAAGCCACCGCGAAATATCATCTGCATATTCCCCTCGCGCCGGATAGAGCTTACAAGACTGTTCATGTCTTTCATGTCCTGTACCGTCGGCTTCGTCATCTGGCCTGCCAACCTTGATGCCTCGAAACTGTATTTATGAAGCAGCAGCCTCACTACCCACTGGACATGTCCGTTCATGCCACGTAGTGCTCGATGTTCGGCTGCTGTGAGTAGCTCCTTGTCCTGCTTGGCCCTCTCACGGGGCATGCGGTAGTCGGTCATCCCGTCAATGTAGTTGTCCATGCCGATCGTGATGCCATAGTCCTCATCCTGCTTGAAGCGTCGGCCTGTAAAGGTAGCACCTTCGGGTGAACCGAACTCGACCTGCTCCTTCAGCTGCTTGATGATCTGCTCGTAGAACTCGCGGTGCTTCCCCATGTCGAAAGCCATGAGCATGTCGTCCACGTGTAAGCATAAGAGTCCCACCAGCTCCCCATTGTGCATAAGCTTGAAGGCATCAGTCTCGAACTGCAGCTGCTCGAAACCGACCTGCTTCAGGATCTGGACAATCCGCTTGTACCAAGCCCTCGCCGCGCCGTTGGTGCCATATATGCTCTTGTTGAGCTTGAGCAAGCTCCCTTCTTCCAGTCCAGGAATGGTCATCCCCGGCATGTTCTTGGGCATCTTGAAGTGCAGCTCCCTCTCGATCTTGACGCCCTGCAGGAAAGCTCCAGCGGCGTCTCCGGCGAAGCAGGAGAGCCGATTGCACGCCGCAGTGCTACACGAGAGGTTCTGCATGAAAGGCGAGCATGTCGGTGAATCTCGTCGTAGCTTCTCATCGTACTTCTCCTGGGAGCCTTTGCCCACGATGCGACACTTGGGCTGGAAGTTGGCATCGTTGTCGCTGCCTTTGTTTGTCCAAACTGCGCGGCTCTCGATCTGCAACGACTTGTCAATCTTCTTGGCCATCGTAGGGGCGATGGCCGTAACTGCGTCGTACCTGGTCCAGGTACTCCACTCCTTGATGAGCGCGTTGAGGCACTTCTCGGTGCGCTCCCTGCTGTACTGATCGTTGCATCTCAACACCTCCTTGATGTCCACATCGCCTTTGGTAGCACGATCGGCTCGTTCAGCTGCGAACGACTCGCACGTCACCTGGTTGGTCGAATATGCGGTACGTGCCCTCTTGTCGTTTGCTGTCGTCAGCGTGTTGAGGCCGATGTGTGATCAACTCTGGTAGATGGCGTGAGATGCCGGTGTCTTCCTCTTAAGCCTCCGCCTCTCGCCTTGGTCGCGATTGGCGCGCTGTCGTGCTCGCTGTCACTGGCGGGCACTGTCTGCATCAGGGTCCGCCGAGGTGGTAGGCGGTGCGCTGCTCGTCCCCGGAGTAGCCGTCCGTGCTGGAGCCGGGTTGTCCGGTCCATAGGACTGAGGAGCCCCTTGAGGTTCAGCACCCTCAGGAACACCTCCAGGGGCTTGGCCTTCCGAAGGGTCCTGCGCTGTCCGATAAGTGCACTCTACCACGACGTCGGTCATGTCCATATCTTGTACAAGAGGAACGTCGAAAGGCACATCCAGGCTGTTGCGCGCCAGGTCCTCTATCATCACCTTGGTGTTGTAGTCAAAGATACGTCGCCGTAGTAGCCGATCTCGGGGTATGACGTCTTCCTCATGTAGTGGTGTTATCGTGCATCGTGCAATCCTGGTTGCAAGGATGGCGTCGTAGGGTCCACGAGGCTGTGAGCCAATGAGCATGGCCCACGACTCTGGGATATTCCACGAACCGTCTGGCCACTCTGCTTCTACTCGCCTTCGCTGTGCAGGAGGTTGGCCTTCAGAATCAGCGTCGCGTTCTTGAACTTCCTCCATGTCTTGTCCTTGCGGTGCTGGAGGTGGCGCAGGATCTGGCGGCTGATCAGGTGGCGATCGCGGTTGGATCCGAGGTTGTAGGGGCTGTCGTGGCTCAGTGAACGTGGTATTGCGCAAATCCACGAAGCCGCGCTGTCCATGCGGAACTCCTCGCCATTCACGCTGATCTCCAGGAATGCGATCCTCGATCTCATTGAGCGTCGACCTCAGGAGGATACTAGGTCCAGCCAGAATAGGCATGCCGTTGTGGATAAGCCAGTCGTCGAACTGGCCCCTCCCAATCGCACGTGCTGGCCCTTGCCATTCATGATGTAGATCGCGTTCCCCTCCACCTGCACGCCAGTAGTGAACCCGTTCGCCGCGCTCGAAAGGTCCTGGCTGAGGTCGCGTCTTTGGTGGCACCGCTCGTCGCAGGGCTGAGCTGTTGGCCGCTTGGTGAAAAGCGACCTCACATGCTTCTTGAAGCCGTAGGCGATGCCACATGAGAGATCCATGTGCAACTTGACCTGCAACAACAGGATCAGTATTAATATCTCCAAGAGATGCCGGTAGTGATGGATTCTCTCCAAGGACCCACTGCGCTGGGGAAAAGCCCTTGCTGTTCGATAGGCGGTCCATGGTCTGAGCAATCTGGTAACCAGCGACCTTGGCGCTCTCGTCATCCTTCACCTCGAGCTCGTGAAAAAAACCGTGGTGGCCATCTCTTTGAAGAAGCGAATCTCCCGCTCCACCTTTCCATGTTGATGATGTTCTTCTGGGGCAACTGGGGCGCATGGAACTCCGAGATCTTTGCAAAGAGCTTCGAACTCCAGACGAAAGGCCGCATCTTGGTCAATCTGAAACCGCTGTGGGGTCAATCGTGTCCGCTGTCAGCCCTCCACGAAAGCCGTCTTGGCGTGGCTTGAAGTGGGACTTGGCTTGCGGTTGCCACCGCTGATCATCCATTGTATGGCGGTGTAGTCGGTGGCCAGGTCCAGCATGAGCAGGTAGGCGTGCATGTTGCCGTTCAGGTCAGGCACGTAGGCGATGCCCATACCAAGACATTGGTTGAACTTGGTCCACTTCGGTAGGCTTGCGATAGGATGCGCTGGCTGTCGCTGCTGAGAGTCGCACAGCTCACACTTGAATAGCTTTGCCGCTGAAGCCGCTGCCGGTGATCCACCACCTGCTTGAATTTGTCGAGCCGAGTCTTCGCCTCGAAGTGCATGTGAAAACTGAACGTGTAGCTTCTTGATTGCCGCCTTGAGTTCTGCTGGTACTTGCTGCCATTGTTGATAGGTCTCCGCGTCTGAGCCCATGATAAGGCCTGAGCTTGACGTGGGGCCTGTAGCGGGGCATGCGTCAGTGGCGTCGGGAACTCCCAGGATGGTCTTTCCACCCAGAAGCTTCTCCAACTCGCATTGTTGCTTCGTGCCCTCGAGGATCCTTTCTGCCACGTCCGGGGCCCAGACTGCAAAATCACTGGACTTACCGCCTCGGCCTTGAACTTCGCCATGTCCGTGGTCTCCTGTACACTGAGCTTCCAATGCATATGCCAATGCCACTGCTGTCGTCGCAAACCTCATTGGCTTCTGAAGCAATTCTCCACGATCATCTCGTAGGTCGAAGACGCATTGGTCACATCGAACCCAGACCAGCTCCAGTGGGAGCTCGTCCTTGATGATGTTCCACACCTGTGAACACAAAGGGTTCTCCAGCAAAACATGCCTGCCATGTGTCAGTCGATGCTTGACGATATGTAAAGCAAATCGTACATGTGCAAATGCCTTCGCGCGGCGCCTGCGCCGCTCCTTCTGAGAGTAGAAATTGTTGATGGGCGAGAAGCCGTCACACGGAAATGGCGCGATCGTGAGGCACGGGCCCTCAACCTCGATCTCCCGCATCGTAGCTACTTGAACACTTGGCAGTAGCAAGTCGCCGCCAGTGGTGCGTAAGTCCTTGCATTGGCCAGCCTTGAGTCCACAGCTGCCTGCGAGCTTCGTGACGTTGCGCTCTCCGCCGTATATCTAGTTCACTACCGTCCCAGGAACAAACAGTCGATGTTGACCTTTGCGCGGTGCATTCCAGGTCGCTCGCTGTTCCAATGCGTTGTCTGCGATCCAGACGTCCACCTGCTTCCTCCGGGACTTGGTCATGATACTGGTGTCGTTCACCGCGGTCGTGATCTTCTCGATGGCCGCCGTCATATACTGCGACTCGTCCTCCTTCTCGGCCGTCCATGCATCCAGCGCCTTTGTGCTGATCGTCGGTGCCTCGAGCTGCGTCAGCTCCTTTGGAAAGTCGGTGATGTTGATCATCAGGTGGTTCTTCCGCGAGCGCGTGATCTTCGCGGGCTGCTCGGATATCTTCTTGAATATAACCTGGTTGCTCTTGACCTTGATGACTGCATCTAGGGCGCCCATCTGGTCCAAGCTCATGAGCATAGGAGCATCTGAGTCTGGTAGTCTCTCGAAGTTGAGCGCGCAACCCCGCCCTTGGATGCCGCTTGGTACTGCTTGAGTACTCTCGGCCCTGACGGGGGCCGAAGTGTTGATACCCTTGAAGACGGTCTGAGTCGGCATCTGTATGTCCGCCAGCTCGAACTTCTCAAGATGGCTGTCGATCGGTCGATCTCCGCCGCATGGTGCCAAGGCTGCCGTGTCTAGGACAATGTACCCGGGAGGTGCCACTTGGTCTGCTGCCACCGTGTCGATCATCTCGTCGTTGACCTGAGTGATCGGGTTGATCGCCTCGTCGATGTGGTTGTGCGTCGGCTCGATCATGTAGACCTCGGTGGCGTGGTTGGTGACTCCTGTCGCCAGCATAGCCGCTGCAAGACCGGCGCGTGCCAGGAAACCTCCAGCGCGTCCGCCACCTTTGCCTCGTCCTCGAGCCTTGCCTCCGGTGGTGGACTTCTTGGTCTTGCTGCACTCCGGGTCTCCAGCCCAATGTCCAGCCTCGCCGCGCGCTCCACATTTGCTTACTCTCTGGAAGGCCCCCAGCGTATCCTGGAGATCCTTCGATCCGAAGCTGATCTTCCCGTCGAAGTCGATGCATGTTTTGCCTTGCCGAAATCCACGATTCGTTTTGGCGTCCTTCATGAACTGGCGCTGCCGAGTATAGTTTGACCCCGTTGAGCCTGAGCTGCCCTCACCGCGTCCGCGGCCTTTGGCCGCGACAGCTCCACCAAGCCGTTGAGCTTCAAACGCGAACACCTGCACCTCCTCTTCGCTGAGGTCGTTGACGTCCACGATGGCCATGGCCTGCTCGAGCTCCTCCACTTCGGCAGACAAAGCCCCCATCTCTTCTCCATCCTCGTCTCCACCACTGTCTTTTCCATCCTCCGGTTCGTCCTCGTTCCCGTCGTCCTCGTCGGGGTCCGCTGTAAAGGCTGAGTTCCACCTGAACTTGCGTCCTCCGTGTTGTCGTCCACCTGGCTGTCGTCGCTGAGCGTCGATGCCGTCGAGTTGTATCTCCAAAACCACGCATATCGCATCCCAATCGTACTCGTTCTGTGCCTGGCCCAGAAATGTTTTGTGCTGCGCCTCCGTGATGCCACACATGTCTAATAAGAAAAACGTTCGCAAGGCCTCCGAACCCTGCGTTCTGCCGCCTGTGAAGTCCTTCAGCTTCTCGTATGAGTTTCTTCTTCGCTGGATAAAGTCCTTTATCGGCTCGTTGGGCCGCCGATGACCGCGCTTGAAATAGTCCAGGAACGCCTTGCGCTTCTGTAGTGGGGCAACCTTCTCGCAACGTGAGCGCGCGCATTTGATCAAAATGTCGAGCGCCTCCTCGATCGCCTTTTCTTTCTCCTCTGCCGTGCTGCCCTTCTTGAACAACCTCGTGAAAGCAGAAACCGAGATCTTCTCATCCTCGTGGCTCAACGCCCACGCTTTGTCCGCGAGGCCATTCTTGACGTTTGCAATGAAACCATTTTTCTTCTCTGCCGTCTCTGCGCCCAAGAAACCAAGCCGTACTCTTTCGTCCCATTCTTCCGCTGAAGCTGCGTCGCCACCATAACAGGGCATGCCATCTTTATCTAGCCAAACGTGTGCACTTTTACGCCTATCTTGTATCTGCGCCATTGTGTCGAAATCAGCTGGGTCTGCGAACTCTGTGATGTCTTTGAACTATGTGAAGAACTCTGTGAGGTCTGTGAACTCTGTGAGGTCGGTGAACTCTGCGAGGTCAGACTCTGTGAGGCCTGGGAACTCTGTGAGGTCAGACTCTGCGAGGTCTGTGAGCTCTGTGAGGTCTGTGAGCTCGTGGAGGTTGGTGACCGAGAACGGGTTCCCGAAGGTGACTGGATGCCCGAACTTCGCAGAACAGGTCTTTATGATATGCAATAGCGTTAGGAAGCTGCGCCAATGAACTAGCATAGGCCGTCTCAAAACACAATGATAATGGATATGAGCCACTTTTCCGCGAGCTGCAAAATCCGCTCGGTCGATCAAATATGAAACGGTGCGTCCTGCACCACGCACACACAGCTGATGAAATCAGGGAAACCCCAGTCTAGGACTGGAACACGTCTGAGAACTTGTTATCGCTGCCTGGCTCAAAAAAGGGGATCCCTTGATATCGTTTGAGAAGCAAACGGCCATGGAAACACAACATGGCACGTTATGTGTTATAAAACTCCGCAAGCCTTTTGAAAAAAAAGGGGCATTCAACTCCTGAGCTGCTTATCTACTGCGTTTCGGGCTGTCCCCAAAACTCTCATCCTCACACAAGAGTGGCCTAACCAGGGGGGGTGAACCGAACTTTCGAGCCTTCCGCTCCAAGACGCTCCCAACAGGGCCCACGAAGTCCCCAAGAAACCCGA